TTTGCAATATATGGTTGAATTGATGAATCAGCGAACTAGTAACTAGTGAATCAGTTGCTGAGCATGTGTGCCACCATGGTCCTAAATGGGAAACAAGTCAGTAGTTTAGAAAAGAGGAGGGGGCAGGAATTGTGTAAAGCTTGCCCTTTCCTAGATTTCTTTGGTCCCTGTTCACCAAGCCTGACTTTTTAAAAAGGTAATACCAGCACACGTGAATAAGGTCCGTTGACAGCAGTGATAATTGCACAGGAACTGTTGTTCACTAATATGGTAAATAACTTGTGCCATCATTGTAAGTGAAAAACTAAATGTGTTAGAAGTATCTGATCAGAGTTTTTGAAAAGAGAGATTTCTCTCTACTATGCCTATTACGTATTGATAAATTCTTGGTGGGTTTTTTACTATTAGTCCTTATAGTAAGCTGAAATGTGTGTGTTTGTTTTTTTTGTAAGCATTTAGAAATGTTGTTTGTGTGGAAATAACTTCTAATTTACATTTACGATTGTATTGCACCTCTGTAAACACAACTCATTGCTTTTTATGATTCTGAACATTCAATCTATATTCTAGTATTTTGTCCTTTTTGTATGTATCTTGTTACTGTTACATAATAACTTCTAAGTAGTTGCTTACTGTACCAGTATACAGAGTAGCTTTTATGTAAAAGACCATTTTTAATGCAGTTCCATACACCTGTAGCAATAATGGAACAGCGCGGTGATTTAACTAAAATGGCAATGCTATTTATGCAGTAATTTCTTAAGTAAACACTCAACATACTTTGCTTTGGACTTAGTATACATAGTTGCAGTTATGACCCATTCTGTTAATATTTTTAAATTTATAGAAGAAAATTAGTTGATTTCTTTTGGCATACAGAGAATGTAACTTTTTTTTTTTTTTAGAGGCGTTGAGTTTTATTAATGATCCCTGTTCTTGCATCTTTTTTTTTCCTCCAAGGCATTTCATTTGGGGGCAAAAGAATTAAAAGATTAAGGCTTCTACTTTTGATTGCAGCTTGCATGCTCCAGTAAAAAAGTAGATTCTGTTTGTTTTTCTTTTTGCTAATCTGAGAGAAAATACTGAAGTGCCTTCTAGCATAATCAAAGAATGTCCGTGATGAATAATAATAGATGTGCTAGCATCAGGTAATGATATCGAGGATATACGTCAGAGTAGCCATTCTTTTCAAGCTTTTCCACCCGCCTAGGAAATCACTTAATTTGTCTAATATTTTGCTAACAAAATGATGTAATAACTTGTTAAGCATTCATCTTTGAAAGAAGTTTATAGATTAAGCATATTCTTCTGTTTTTAATGTCCATAAGCTTTCACTCTGTTCACCTGAATCTGGATATTTGGTACTTTAATTCAACTTGCCTATCAAGAATGTTCCATCCAAATTTGAGTATAGCATCTTAGTGGAATCTACAGTCTGCTGCTTTTACATGTATCATGAGTGCCATCAGCTTTTCAGTCATGGGCGTGTTAATTGCCTATAGACACTACTAGGCAATTCATTTTTGGTAGGTTTTCCCACCTCCCCCAGATGTCTAAAGAACTTTTAGAACTTTCTCCATTTGTACCCTCAGTTCATCAGCAAGGCATGCCTGCTGTAGACTTCAAGGATTAAGCACTGTGTTTTCTTATCAGTGACCAGGTGGGATTTCTGTGTATTTTTATTTTTGACTCCTGCACCAATACAATCAGCATCCAGAAATGCTTTAATATTCTCACTGCATGGTGCACAGGTACCTTTTACTCAGGTGATACTGGTATGGACTCCTTCTGTTTTCATCTATTCAGGACTCTGTGGGATTTTCAGCATTCTTCAGGTTTTAGGGAAAGGGTGGCAAAGGGGGTGGCAGGGAGGGGTGGAAGTGTTTACCCAGATAGAGGAGAAGTTCAAAGATGCTTTGGACCTTTCTGCTTGAACAGAGAACGTTGATGATTGTTAGGGTGTCTTCCATGAAATGGAGTTGGATATTCTATGATTGCTCAGGTCATCCCATCTCTGAATTGGTGAGTTGTAAGGACACAAGAAGTAATCGGTTTCCTGCTATTTAAGATCCCTTCTGCAACATGATGTGTATGTATTTTTTGGGAGGGGCTGGGGGAGAGGCGTGCATTGGACCTTCATTGCTCTTGACCCAAACGTGGAGGCAATGGACTTGTAAACTTATTCTTTTTCCAAAGAAAATAAACAGAAAGAAACAAAATGGGAAGTGGAAAAAGTATTGCATATTAAATTCCATTCCAAACGCATTGCATTTGTTTGGTTGTCAAGGTTGTTGCAAATGATATCTTTGAGATGCTCATTATTCCAGCTGTTGAGGTATATTTGACAAAAAGATTTCATGTTTGGCATCTGATCATGTTCAGCTTAAGAGAAGAAGATGTATATATTGATATACTTTAAGAAAAAGAATCTAGTGATAAAGCTAAGGAAAAACAAAGGTTCAGTTTTCCTGCTTGCCCAGTTTGGACAAGACTCATCTGGTTTTCTCTGCTGTTGAAGATGGCAATAGCCCATTCAAGAAGATTATGAAACTTGCCAGGCTTGATGGTTCAGAAGCAAAGCAGATGTTTTCATTTGAACTTAGACTCTTTTGAATACAAGAAGGCACAAATGAAGTACCAATGAAGTTTGGTATAAGAGTCTGAGTCCTAAGACTGAAAAGGAGTCTGCTAGGTGGTATAGAATTTCAAGCAGAAACTTGATATTTGGTATGGGGCCAAACAATGCTTTTTCACACATGTAGCATGCAAGTTTTCTTTAATACACTCTTACAAGTCAAGACTTGAGGTAGACTTACTAAAAATCTGGTTATATTTTTATTTTTTGAACATGTAGGTTCAATGAGAACTATAGCAAAAAGAGTAGTAACCAACCTCCCATCCATTCCCCAAGGCTGGATTTGTAAGTCACAACCACAGTTCGGAGACGCTGACAATACTTGCCAGCAGTTACAAATAACTGAGATTATTTGTGCACAAGCGTCCATGTAATATAACTTAGCAGCATATATCCATACATTACGTTACCTTCAGAGAGTGCTCTTGTAACGAGAGATCTCATAATGCTTCAGTTGATACTTTTAATTATTCATTTATATGTAGCTGCTTTTGTGTGTGCATAATTTTCTGACCATTTTTTAGAAGCGTGTATGATCAGTTATAAATATGTAAAGCTTTTGTATGTAGCATGTTAGCTATATTTAAGTAATGAAGACCAATATATAGTTGCAACTTGCTTGGTATCACTGGTTCCAAAGAAAATATTTTTAGCATTCAAGGCACAGATATTTTTGCAACTCTTTAACTTGTTCTCAATATGAGATTGGATCATTCCTGCTGGATTCTCATATTTTGTGAAGGTCAGTCGTGCTGCCAACAACAGTAAAATCCTAATCAACTAAAGTAACTTCTACACTTGTTAATTAAAAGAACAGTTAAATCCATTGATGCAGAATGTGCATACTTCTGGCTTAAAAGTGATGGGAGGATTTAGTCAGGCAAAATTAATTGTGGTGAGATGGTCTCTCCCTTTTCCCCCCTCTCCCCCATTCCCAATTTTTCTCTTTCCCAGAACTGCCTCTGACACGAGAGAATTTTAGTTTTGTTAACCAGCTGTCCTTAATGTGTATAATAACCCTTTTTTGTTGTTTGTTTGTTAATAGCCTGTATTATAGTTCAGGAGAGTCTGACACATCCGTCAGAAATAGCTTTAGGACAACAGATTTTATTTTGTTTTCCTAGAATACATAATCTGAAGCAATAGTACAATGCAGAACAGCAGTAAGTGAGACCAAGAGACTTGAATATAATGTACAACAGTGAACACTTGACCCACAGGTCTATTTTCCTTCATTACACTCCCATAGGAACTTTTAAATCACTTAATAAAGGAAAGGGAATACATCTGCTAATCTTCATACTGACTTGATATGTATTTACAGAAAATGAAATGGTTTTAAAAGCTCGACCAAGAGTTAATCTCTCTTTCAGGAACAAACTGGTACAGCAGAAATGAAACATGAATAGAAGTGCAGACCACTTATGTACCAGACTCAGCACATTAATTTGCATAAAGCCAGTTTTTTAAATCCTCAGTTCTGTTTGGACAGTGGGAAATTTTTTTTGTAATATAACACAACATTTCAATAACATTTTATGTACCTGTTATATTTAAATGTATTTCTTGCATAATTCTTTAAAAGTTTTTTTTGTTCTGTTTTTTAAGTTCAATGAATCTAATAAACACTTGTCTTTTCAAATATTTATTGTGTGTTGTGTTTAGGCCACAGAAAAATTGGCAGAAAGAGGGTGGTTGGGGAGTCTGCTAAAATCTTGTTGAGTTTTTTTGGGGGTCCCTGTCCTGCATCATCACCACGCCAAATGGTTTAGTTTGGTCATTCCTGCCCACTTCTGAATCCATCCTTTGTTCTCTCCCCCAAACAAGATGGTTTTCCCTGCTGGTTTTAACCTGCTCACTCATGCTCACAGCTAAATTGGAGGGAGAAAAGGTGCACAGGGAAGGGTCAATGCAAGTTTATACCCCATCCACACATTCTGTGGAAACCCAATTCATGGCTACCTGCATCCACTTGTAACGAAGAAGAGCTATGTGGTCTGGCCTTTATTGCCATTTTTCAGACTTATGCTGTTTGATTTCAGGCTGATATGTCTCTAATTTGAGTATTCAAGTGTTAAAATATTCCACATTATTGGGTTCTTCTGAATTTTTTGGCCTTGAGGGTTGATCTTGTTTAAATACTGAAGTGTTCCTCAGTGTACACTGCAAGATTGGACTTTTAACTTGTTTTCCCCTGAGGCTTGATTTACCTGTCTGTAAAAAGAAAATGCTTGCTAACTCCATATGCTAATTCATTAACGTTTGCAAACAATGTTAAGATTTGGGTGAAAGGTACTACGTTTGTACGCTCCTATTACAGAACTTAGAACGTAGTAGAAAATTACTTATACTGCAAATATGCATAGTCAGGATCCTAGTATCAGCATCAATGAGTTATACTAGATTTTTAAAAAGTTCTTAAGTCCCATGACCTAAAGAACAAAATGTGTAAAAAGTATCTGGTGCATTTTGAGGTACAGTGACTTGCATGGAAAGACAATGTCATGACACGAGGAAAAACTGAAAGCAAGAGTTATCTCGTGTTTGTTAATGACCATTCTGAGCTGTAACTCTGATGCTTACAGCTGGGAAGGTTGCAGTTTTGTGGTGAGAGTGGTTGTGTAGCTGTAAGAAGGCGAGCATTGGAAGACTGCCTGGGCCACATTTCAAAAAGATGGTCAATTTATTTTTCCTCTTGAAAAGTTATTTTATCTTAGAAAATTCCATTCAAAAGTCCACGGTACTGATTATGGAGACGCTGGCTCTTGAACAGTTAGGTAGAGGGGGTTTTTTTTTTTTTAACTTTGTCATGTTTCTGTAGCTCCATAATGACCTTGAGAAGCTGATTAGTTCACATACGTTTTCAGCAGTGTAACTTAAAAAAAACCCACCTCTGATCCAGTCGTGTTGTTCTGCTCTTCCTTCTACAAGCAGAGGACAAACTGGAATGGGATCAAGGGAGTTTTCATGACACCAACATTACCCTTAGGGATGTACCTAAATTGTGGGGGTACTTGATCATGGCATAAAGTTCTAATTCTGCAGTCATTTTGTGGTGGCCACACCCTGTGGTGCTGATTGGTGGAGAGGCCAAGGGAGGAGGAGGGATGGGGTGGCTGCCATCTTGATTGGTGGCTGCTTTTTGTGACCCCCACCACTTGGTGCTGATTGGGGGCTGGGGACAAGGGGGCGGTAACCATCATTTCTGCTGCCTTTCATGCTGCCCTGCCAGCCAGTGCTGCCTTCTCCTGGTATTGAGTACCAGCATTTTATTTTTATTAAGTGTTTTTTTTGTTGTTGTTGTTGATTTTTTGCAGACAATCCTGGATTTGGGGGTTTCTGCAAAACTGCAAATTAAGGAGGTCCCTAATTATCATGCTAAAGGAATCCTGAGGCACCCGGTATTTCCAGGTTGGAGGGTGTGTATACATTGGTGCGAAAGGTATTGGTGACGGAAATCTTAACCAATTATTCAGAAAGGGAAACAGGGAACTTAAAATGCATATTCGTTGATGGAGATGGGGATGAAAAATAGGGAGTGCAGAAGAAAGAAGAATGTGTGGTAAGTTAGAGTGGGATGGAGATTGCAGACAGGAAAGAGGACAGCCAATATGGATGAGAGAGGGGAGGTAGCAGAGATCAAAATAGAAAAGTTAGCAGTGTGTTAGTCTGAAGTCATAGAAGGCAGGGCAAGCTGGTTAGGAGGAATGAGCTTTTTGTTGGGGACAGCCTACGTCAGGGCTGTCCAGCTTCTAACACTTGAGGACCACATGTGCCTGTACTGCATCAGGGCGAGTCACAGGCCCCATGGGCTACACTGCATGCCTGTGTGGTTCCCCAGGCTAGATCCAATGGCTCCATGGGCTATCTACTGTTGGTTCCTAGTTTAGGCTCTGGAACTTGTTTATTGGAAGATTTTAAGTGAAGTTTAGATAGCTACCCAAGATGGTTTAGACAGGGGTGATCCAGCCTAGATTGGACTGAGTTCTTGGAGACCCTTCCAGTGTGTGTGTGTCTCTCTTTCACTTCATTAAATGTTTAGAGACCATACATCCATTGCTCAGGTATTTCCAAAAGATTTAAACTATGCTGTTACTCCCCCTCCCCCCACACACACACTTCTTTCCCCCTGTAGTCCCCTCAAAAAAGTACTTCTCAATGTTGGATTAGGACTCTTCAGTTAGTTCAGTATCTGGCCTTAACTAAATCCTTGTTCTTCTATTGCTATTCCTTGTGAATTGCTAGAATTCTTACTTATGCTTCTTGCCACCAATTTATTAGAATTTGCTCATACCTAACCTACCATTGTTACCAGTCCTTGCTTGACCTTTCTTAAGAGTTGTCAACAACAGTTGTAGTTCTGAAGTTGCTACTCCATCATTTTGTAAGAGTGTGGTACCTGAGGCAAAACACTCGGGGTATTTATGCACATACCTTTTTGTCCTGCAGTGTGCGGGACATCCACCATCTCAGAGCAGACTCGATTAATTGAGTCTGCTCCGCACACGAGCTGATATGGCACAGCACAGTTCATGTGCAGTTGTATAAGCGGTGAAATGCGCATCAGCACACAGAAAATGGCAGTGGTCACTTTTGAACTAAAACACCTTCTGTGTGTTAGTTCAAAAGCGTGCTACTGCCATTTTCTCAGCACTGATGTGCATTTTGCCGCTTATACAATTGTAAGCAACACAGCGCTGGGCGCTTTTCAAAGTGCCTGGTGCTGAGGTTCTTGCATGTATAAAAATACCCTCAATGAGGTGTGATGAAGGCTAAGACAACATGCAAGAGATTATTGTAGATTTCATAACAGGACATTTAAATTTGCTATAGGGATGATTTAAATGGCTACTGGTTGCTACTGTTCTGACCCCACAAATGAACAAGGGGGCTGATTCAACTTACACCAGAGAAAGTTGATATATTCCTACTGGCTTCATAAGGCACATCCAGATGAGCACGCACATGCCTCGACCCGTCTCAAACCCATTTGAGACGGGGCAAGAGGCACGTGTGGGGAGAAAATTAGACCCCTGTGTGACCGCCAGGCTTCGATCACCTGTTCTTGGGTGGTTTTAGCCTTGCAGATAGATGTCAAACACCTGTTGGGATCTTGTCAGTGTCGGAGTAACTGTCTTTTCTCCGTGCCCCAACCCTGTTCTTGCCCGCCATGACTTGATGTTCTTCAGTGTAAGGGGTTGGTTTGCGGGACACTCCGTGGCCCAGGATTCCTTGGCAGTCACTTCACGGGGCTCCGCCACCCCTACACCCCAGCCTCACACCACCTTTGGTACGTCCCTCATCTGCTGGTCTTGTTCCCCAGCCATGGGGTGACACCACCAGGCCCGTCCCTAAGTGACCACGGCTCCACCATCCTCCTTGCCTGCTCCCCTCCCTTCCTTCAGGGAATGGAGAATCAAAGAAAACTCAGGCCTCACAGAGGCCCCCCCTCAGCCTCAATCTGCGGACACACTTCCCCTAGCTCTCTCTCCCTTAGCCAGGGTTAACTGAACAAAACAACCCAAAAGAAATGCTGCTTACCCAGCGTCTTGCTATCCGTTAAACAATCTGCTCTGAGCCCTCCCTGGCTCCCTTCTGGCCCATCCCGGACCAATCGCTCCCAACGGTCCCTCCTCCTGCTCGATACCCCAGCTGCCTGGCGGTGATGCCTGCCCTGACTGTACCCCCTTGGGGCTTTCCCGGGGTCTCTCCTCCCGGGTGAGGCTGTCTCTGCACCTCATCATTCTGGCATCCCACCTGTGGGTCACTTTACTCTCTGGTCTCCTTCCCGCCGCGTCCTCTGGAGCCGTGCCTCTAGCTCCTGCGTTGTCCAGGGCAGTCTCCAGCCGGGAGGTCTGGTTCCGCTCTGTCCACGCCTCCGCTGGCTCCACGTTGCTTGCCGTCGCCGCTGCCACCATTCCTCTCACTGATGGTACCGATTGCTGTTCCTCACCTGGGCTATCCGTCCCCTCCACAGCTGCAGCCACTGTTTTTATCCCTGCCAGCCGGCGTCCCTCCGTGATGTCACCAGCTGGTTGCAATTGAATTAAAAGGCAGCTAATAAGCCATGCGGGCTCCTCCCTCCACCTCGTGCACGTCTCGTCCGGAGCTGCAGGTGAGTCCCGTTTATTGTTTTGCTTCCCGGGACACCCTGGATATCCAGGGGTCTAAAAAACCAAAGTTTAAAAAGCAGGGCAGGGCACGGTCCCAGACCGGAGGCTGGGTCCTCCACGGAGATGCTCTGGCTGCCAGAGTGTCTCTATGGTTGGCCTCTTGCCCTGGTGCCGAACCATGCAGCCTGACAGACAGCGCAGCACCAGGGCTTCAGTACCATAAGTAAGGGGTTGGGAGCGCCGGAGGAGGGGGGAGGGGACTATGGGGGGGGCCCCTGCTGGCCCCACCCACTCTCCCAGCCATGTCTGGCCTAAGCCTCCCCAGTCCCTGCCCCCCCTCCCCAGCATCCCCATACCAAAAAAAACACCCCCTGGCACTTACTGGTAGTCCAGCTGCCATCTCTATCACTGGGCCCCACCCACATAGCACAGGGCAGAGGAACAGCCCAAGTGGCCCCAGCTGGGGCCCTCCTGCCTCCCGCTGCCCTGTGCTGCCCGGGGGGACTCTGCCAGGAGGCCCCAGAGCCCCCT